AACGTCTATCGTCCTGATCTCTCCTCCTTCTTTTTTGTGTTTGTTACTCTCTTGTAACACCTCTAATCTACGGCATTTATATGACCTTATTACATTGTACTTACAAATGCCGTAAAACTCTTACTAAAGCTAAAAGACTTTCTCTTTTTTCTTTTGCAGACACCCTTCCGAGACCTAGTAGTACCCGCCAGTCTCTCTCCACGGGTCATGGATGTGCGACCCTCTACTGGCTTGTGAAAAATGTACCTGGCTTCTTTGACAAGTCAAGTTTCACCAGCTGTGGTTGTATCATGGATTTTTTAACATACTGTTTGTGTGACCTTGATGAGGGTGTCACGTCTGACCAGCTCGCTGCCAGCATGGGATACTATCATGAAACTTCACACAGCTGGGACAAAGAGCTGTAAGCAAATTTGTTGGTCATTTTTGTTATCAAAAGTAATAGTTGTAATAATGATTATAGACTGCATTTATATAGCGCTCTAGCTCTAGCCCATATGAGTATAAGTTGTCTAGATATTTGACTGCTAAATCTCTTAAAGTTAAAGCAAATGGCTGCAATTTTTTTAATGACAAATTTTGTGGCACTTAATTTTATTTGATGGTACTATAAAAGCCTTACATTTGAAACAGATGTCTGTATATATGTCCCTACCTACAAAGTTAAAATTATGCTACAAAGGGTAATTGCTTCTGATAGATTTCGAATAAATAAACTGTCCAATAAAGACAAAATGTAAAGTTATATCTTTACACCACCCCATAGATTGTATGTCTGGTTTTGATTATGCAAATTTTACACCTTCCATTCAGTCATTAAAACTGACTGTCAAACAAATTGTTTAGTTAGAGAGGTATATATAGTAAGGTTATGCTTTTCAGATGTTTGAATTTTTAAATGAAATTCTTTAATTATCTGTTGTAATGTTACTGTCTGTGGGTAGTTGCATGATGAGTTCTCTGGTGTAGTTTGCTCCTTTCCCATCAAACATCTGTCGTTCTTATCTCTCCTTCCTTTTTATGTTTGTTACTCTCGTGTGACACCTCTAATCTTCAGCATTTATATAACCTAATTGTCTTGCAAGTTCTGTAAAACACTTATTGAAACCAAACAAAAGCCACCGTCCAAGATGTTCACCTGTCTATGACAACCTCTTCTCTTCGACAATGGGTGGCTGTCTTGGACAATTTCTACTGTATTTTCCTTGCGTTGGTGAATTGGGAGTTTGGTTTGTTGTGTCTTTAGGACATATCTGTCATAAAATGAGCACGTTTACATTGCAGTCACTAACCCTTATGTTTTAGTTTAGTTTAGTTTAGTAAGTTTTATGGTGCTCGCAACTGCATAAGGTCATAATATATGAGCATGCAAACCCTCATGTTTGAATACTGAAGGATTCTTGAGATGCGTACATTTCCTCCTTAGGTATGAGGACCCTGTATTTCCTAGCAGCCTGTTGCCCAAGATTGTCCCGGTGGGAACAAAAGTGGGTCTCACAAGCCCTCATCTCGCTGGCTGGCCTCAGGATGTACCTGTGTATGTCTGTATGGGGGATGTGCAGTGTGCCACTTATGCCCTACTGAAGGACAACCATGACGCAGGTGGGTAGAACTATGAAGGTGCTTGAGAGCAGGTCCACTAAAAGGTCTACTATGATAATGTGATCTACCTTTAGTCCCTCCTGACTGAAGACTGTCTACCTAATGGTTTACGTTCTTCTAAAAGGCCGGCAGAGTATACTATCGCTTCCACGCTTTGATGCACCATGCACTTTCAAGAAGTCGTGGAGGCATGCTCTCCCCCCCCTCCTAGTACAACAGAAACATTGCAGTAGACTGTCAAGTGGACCGGCATCAATGCATGTCTGTCTTTGTCATCAGCCTTCACCGCCTTCTCACTCACATTACCTCACTTCACTAACTGTGGGTGGTTAGAGGGCACCCCTGATAGGCCCTACTTCTTTACTTTCCCTCTGTTGTTCATTAACACATTCTTGGAGACATGGCATCTCTTACCTATCAGCAACTGCGGTGAAGCAATTATGGACACTTTGTCACAGCATTCAGAAAGTCTTGAATTTGATTCCCTTTTAGGGAGAATTTTTTATCGAGCATCTCAGTCTTTCTGCTGAGATGTTGTATCCCTCTCAGTCTGGGTTAGCCCTGACGAGTAGAGTTGAAGCCTGCTTCCTAAATGATCTAAATTTTGTTCTAGGGGGTGTAAAACATGTACATGAATTCTTTTTAATCCAAGGGTAATAAACCCACTAAGCCGGGGCCCTTTTTTGGTGCTAAATCTAAAAATGACAAAAACGTCATTAAATGGGTCTTTAACTCATTTGCTACGCCGAGCCGTGGGGGGCAACGCGGCTCAAGTGCCGTCAGTACGTTAAGCCGCCCCCGGCGGCTCGAGAACC